CTGTCCCCTTGAAGCTCCAAATGAGACCCTCTTCCCCACGGCGTTCGTCCTGTCTCTGGCATTTCACTGCGAGGCCCCCACTCCGATGGAGCTGAGACCGCACAAATGCGACGAGGGCCTCCTTCATTGCTTGACGCCAGAGCAGGTCTGCAAGGGTGGGCAGGTCAGACTACCTTTCGTGGATGGTCACCTGCGATCCTGCGTTTCTGCATTCGCATTGGGCGTTGCTATGCTCGCAACTCGATCCTACATGGATGCCACCGATAGTTGGTCCATTGGGTGTCATCGAAGACAGCGGACATGAACATTAGCATTGCTCGACTGGTACCGCGGATATAGTCACTCCAACGTCTTGCAGACATAAGCTGGACATCCTCCACCTGAACGTCGCTGAACAGAGGCATACGGCCTCGAATATCCCATGTACTATGTGATACGAGCTTCTTAGCGAGCTTCTACGCCCGCTCTGATTGTGATAGTGGTTGTGTATTCAGCGCATCATAACGCACTAGACGCCCTAGAAGCGCTGCAGGGAAGGCTTCGTTCAAATTGGTTCGCCCCCGTCATCAAGGAAGCAACTAAATCAACCTTCTAGCTTGACTCCAAGTATTCTAGTGCGCGGCGCCAAAACGAAGCTTTCCCCTTCACGCAAGTGCCGAGCCAAATCGTAACCAGCCGACCTGCCTGCCCTCGCCAAGAATGAGGGCTTGAACTACGTCTGGCACGACCTATCATTGTTGGGAAAACAACGCAAACATAGATACAAGAACGTGCGTGAGCACACCACCGTAGATAAACACCCGGAGCCTGTCCGGGGCAAGTCAATGATTAGTGAATTACATTTCGTCTGCTCCGTCGACTAGGCTTGAAACAAGGTTGGCACTTGTTGGCCTTACTTGGCGCTGCGCCATCTCCCTGGCCCTGAGCGCATTTCACTCTCGGCAGCGCTTGTTGGCGGTGGTTTGGATTCTAGAACGCAGGGAACCATCATTAGGTTGGCCCACCTTCTTCTACGACCAACCTTGAGCTGCGTCGTTCGACCCAGGAACCTGATCCCCTCCCCCAAAGAACTCACGCCACCATGCCCAACCTGCACTGAAGCAATCCAGCGAAGAGGAACGCGGGGAAAGCTGAGTTAGCGCGACACTGATTGCGCCCACTTTCCCCAGGTCAAAAACCGACCTTCCACTTCCCCGGACGGAGACACATGCACAGCCCACCCCGACTTGACCGGGTGCGGGCGTCCTTAAGTGAATGTGGCGGCCGAGGCGAGGCACTGGTATGGGAGTCTTGCCTATCACCCTCTTCTAACTTGCATCACTATACGAGCAACATAATGTCGTCAACTCGGGACGAGTCATCAAGTCGCAGAGCCAAGAATTAGGCCCACCACGTTCATTCTCAAAAGCCATGCCTCCGGGGATTTTCATCCCTCGCTCGGCAGTCTATGTCACTACTTTGCAAACAAAATAACACGAGGCAACTGAGGAGAGGCACGCTACTACTTGCCAAGACACATGGGCAGTCAAGGGTAGAAGGAAGGCAATGTCACATTCCCCAAGCTTGGTATTTCTTGGTAACTTTCTTCTGTAGCACAAAGTGATTCGTCGTGACTCCTGTCAACGCTTATGATAGCAGCTAGCTGGGAGCGTACACCACCAGCTCAAGTTGTGCGCGCTTCCAGGATCGCTGGCCGCCCGCCTGGGCAAGTCTTCTCCTTCTTGGGAATGACTAGGGGGTGGTCGTTGGTGTTCGGAACATGTCGGGCGTGACTTGGCAGAAACAAAATAAGTGAGATTTCGTGATGAACAAGTGTGGTTGTAAGCAACCCAAGACTCGCCGAGCCCATGCCCCTAGTCGATCGCGGGCACGACATGGGAGGACAACGTGGACGGAGGCTGGAGGTCATCCCACGAGGGTAAGGTCTGGGCATCCCCGCCTTGTACGAATACATAAGAGCTCCAGACCCCGTGGGGAAATGGAAAATGAATTTCGCTAGACAGAGTACAATTAGCTTAGCATTGCTAACATCAGTCTCAATCAATATCTTCCTTCTCACTTCTTTTGTTGCTCGTCTGGACTTCCGTGAAGTCATTGCCAAAGCAAGAGCCGGAATCATGACCTCCAAAACCAACACCGCGGCTAATAATGAAGCCGACAGAGTCAAGGATATGGAGCCCCAAATTTTTGAGGACGAGAACCCAGAGAAGCCCATTCCAAGGAACACGGGCAAGATCGACTACTCTGGGGCTCAGGAGAAGACTGATCCCAAGGAAATCGCTCTTGTGAAGAAGTTAGACAGATGGATCATGGTATATGAAACTCCAGATACCTTCTCCAAGTGACTATGGACTGACTAATACTTTTCTTTAGCCGATGCTATGGTCGATGTACTGGCTGAATGTAAGTCCACATTTTGGAGCCTCCACGTCGTCAACACACACTAACGGGTCTTGCAACAGTACCTTGACCGCAATGCCATTGCTTTGGCTCGTCTCAACGATCTCGAGAAAGACCTCAATTTAACTGGTTCTCGTACGTCTGACAATATTCGTTGGTGGTGTTAAGAATATCGCTAACGCCTCTATCTGACAGAGTACCAGACCTGTGTTTCGATTCTCTTCGTCGGTTACATTCTGTAAGATGCTCGTCGATGTTCACTTGTTTCATACCTAACTAACACCATCCTACTAGAGGACAGATCCCTTCAAATATGTTCCTTACTCGAACCCGGCCTAGCCGCTATATGGTACTTCTTCACAGCCCCCGACTCTGAACGCAGGGAGATACTAAATCTGTTGCCCGTCTCCAGGGAATCATGATGATGCTCTGGGCTGTTGTTAGCGCTCTCACTGCAGTTTCCAAGGACTTCACCGGACTTCTCCTCACCCGGTTCTTTCTCGGAGTCACCGAAGCTCCATACTATCCCGGTGCTGTCTACTTGCTGAGTATCTTCTACACCCGAAAAGAGGTTGCCACTCGCATTGCTATCCTCTACACCGGAAATATTCTCGCCACTGCCTTCGCCGGCCTGATTGCTGCCGGAATTTTCCACGGCATGGATAACCTCGCGGGCATTGCAGGCTGGAAGTGGCTGTTCATCCTCCAAGGTGCTGTTACGTTCGTCATTGCAGTCATCGGCTTCTTTCTACTTCCCGACTTCCCACAGACCACCAAGTGGTTGACACAGGAAGAACGTGACCTCGCCTACAACCGTATGGAGCTCGACACCGTTGCCAATAAGGGCGAGACCAGCACCTGGAACGGTCTGCGTCAAGCTGCCAAAGACCCCATGGTCTGGATCTTCTGTGCGATGGCCCACATGCATCTGGCTGCCAATGGTTTCAAGAACTTTGTAAGGCTTTTATGACTCGTGATCGACATGTGAGAGAGGAGACGACTGACAACAAGTTCTCGAACAGTTTCCAAGCGTTGTCAAGACACTCGGCTTCAACACAACCATCACCCTCGTGCTCACCTGTCCCCCCTACCTCATTGCTGGTGCGGTTACCATTGCTGTGTCTTGGTCATCAGGCAAGTTCAATGAGCGCACATGGCATATCACCGCGTCCAAAGCCGTCGCCGTTGTCGGTTTCATTTCAGCCGCTGCCACAATGAACTTGGCTGGCCGATACGTCTCCATGGTGATCTTCACCATCGGCACTTACGGAGTCAACTCGGTGCGATTATTCTCTCTCCAAAATCGTTGCAAAACTTTGCCATTGTAGCTGACTCCGGAAACAGTTGATCCTAGGTTGGTGCGGCAGTGTCTGTGGCCAAACAAAAGAGAAAAAGGCAGTGGCCATCTCCATGGTGACCATGATCATGAACGTCAGCTTCATTTGGACCCCATATCTTTGGCCCAGCAGCGACGAGCCTCGTTATGTCATCGCCATGTCAAGCAGCGCCGCGTTCAGCATTGCTACTGCTTTGCTGGCTTGGCTTGGAAAGATCATCTTGAAGAAGCGCAATGAGAAGCTCAGGGCTTCCCCTGACGAGACCGCCGTCTTTTATGTCTACTGAATGGAAACTTTGATACGAATTTCTTGCGGGGGACTGCTTTTTGCACACTAATACACACTCATTTAGAAGTATCACTACGGCTACGTCTGTGTTTGGAGCTGATCATATAAACATGCTGTAGTACCGTACTCGAGTAATGATATTCGTGTTTTTCCTCTGACCTTGCATCAATCGAATTTCAGCTTGATCTTGTCATCGCCCCTTCCCCCTGGTATCGAATTCGTGCTATTGGAGTTCACTTGGTGAGGATTGGTGTGGTCGTTGATTGTGCTTTCATGGGTACCGGCTCTAGTATGGGCAAGATGGCCCACAGCTTTCTACCTGCTATCTCAATAAAGCTGCTAGAGCTCGATATTCTTTCGGTGGAAAATGCGTTTAGCTGCAAATCCTCACTCCTCGTTGGGAGATGATACTCAGGTGATGTGGTAAGCTGACGCGACATGGCTCCAGTCAATTCGCTTCCGCGTCTCTAATAGGGCAGCTGAGTCAAGGGTCAGATTTTGGTGCCGTTGAAGGAACATCTGAAGGCCGAATTATGCTGCATACGCTGGAATCGACGGATGTGGGTGGACAAGCGAGGCGGTTGGGGTCGCGATCGGTTGCTTAGCCTATTTTGACAGGAGGCATCTCTATTGTAGCGGCAACCTTTAAATGTCAGCCCTACCGCTCCTCTTTCACGTCGCTCTAAATTCTCCATTGAATGTCCCAGAGCCGGGGAGTGCGAAGCCCTTGGTAACGCCAGCATCGACTCCACGGTTTTACCAGAAAAGCATAAGCTCGACCTTCCATGGCAGATAGAGCTCTTCAAAAGCCAATGGCGCCGGTGGCCCCGGTTTCGGCGCCCCAGATCCTCAGCTTTGCCCTCAGGGACCGGCCGAAGGTAAACCGCCGGAGACAAGCTCCGAAGTCTCGGGCAGGCTGTATCACATGCAAGTGAGTTACGAGCAACATGAAGACACAACAACCGCATCTGAGATATGCGTTCCGATCAATTCTCACCGATGCTTGTGATGCAGCGAGCTAACGCAATCATTAGAAAACGACGCATCCGTTGCGATGAGGGGAAGCCATCCTGTCTAAATTGCGGCAAATCAAAGCGAACTTGCGAAGGATACGCACCAAAGTCCACGGGAAATGAACGTAGATTGCAGGAATACCGCCCACTGCTCATTCGACCCAACTACGAGATGTACATGTTCACTGCACAACTCGAGAAAGATCAATTCGAGTATTGGATGACATTCAGCAAGCAGTTTACTCTGTTTCCGTCGGATCTCATCACACAGCTCATACCACAAATTGCCCGTGAAGAGCCGGCCATCAGACACGCAGCGTTTGCCATTGGCGCAGTCACTTTGGGCAGCGATAGTCGCCTACAACGCACCGGTGGCGCGGGTCCATTCATGAAGGATGCTTTGCAACATTATGGAAGAGCCATTCACATCATTCGATCCAGCGCATCATCAAAGAGAAGTATCGCTCGTGCTCTCCTCTCCTGTATTCTCTTCGTCGCCTTCGAAGCCATACAGGGCAACCATCTAGCTGCGCTCACCCATATAAATCATGGATGCAGTATGCTAGATCAAGTGATGAAACAGGGCGTGAGTGGAGAATGCCCTCCAAAGCTGATTGATGAGGTTATCTCGGGATTCCAGCGCTTCACCTTGTCATCATGGACCATGAATGGATATCACCCGACTGAGACTGAGACCTGGGTGCCTTGGTGCTGCCGCGGAAGAAGAAGTCGCTATGCAGTCGACGAGCTGCCAAAGAGCTTTGCAACGCTTTCAGAGGCTCATCGGTGGTGGGAGGTCATCCAACACTTCATTATATATCAAACAAAGATGCATTCAGCATTGCATTTTGAAGACCTCGGGACTCCTTCAAACCTGACAAAGATCCCGAAACATCAGGTGAAGAGATACATGGGCATCCTCGACCGGTGGCACGTCCGATTCGAGGCGTTATCAATCACAAGGTCTCCGACAGAGGCAGTGCACAATGATCGAGCAAGCCTACAAAAGTTGAGCCTTCAGCTTTTATACAAGTCACTCGTCATTTCTGTGAAGAGCTCTCAATACACAAACACAGAAGTCCTAGTCGAGTCGACAGAGGAATTTAGTGAGATACTCGCTATGAGTAGGATCGTTCTCGAGGGACAATCAAATATGGACCCATCCAGGGAGGTTTTTACTATGGAAACCAGCCCGAGCTGGGCCATTCTTTCTGCGAGCATCTATTGTGTCGATGCAGACGTTAGAAAAGAGGCTCACCGTCTGCTCAAGGACTTTCCCCGCCGGGATGGCATTTGGGATACCAAATTGTTCGCCGCCATTTCAAAGACCAGCCAAGACCTCCGTGCAGAAAACGACTGGAGAGTCGACGATCATGCTGGTGCAGTTCTGGTCAATAAAGAGGTTGTTCTATACAAGGATGAGGTGTTTAGGAGGAAGTATGAGCTAGCAGACGGCCAGTGGCGGATTGTGGAAGAGCAAAGGATACCAGTTGGTTTAGAGTGATTAAATGGTTGTGGGCTATTGCTAGACACTCAACTCTAAATACGAATAACTTGAAGGCAGTCGATATTCCTCAAAGGAGTCGTGACTGAAATACCTAAGAGCTCTGCGTTGCTAACCAGAAGAGAACATACTTACTGAGCATTTTGATAGGACATGTCAAAGACATATATGGAAACTAGTAATGAGCAATTTGAGAGAGGCTCCGGGGCTGCGATGTCTTCCTCCACTGAAGCAGGTCCATGTTTTGTACTGTAGCTCTTGAAAAGGCCAAGCTTTCAAGTTGGCAACTCCAGAAGCTGTGGTCACGCACACCCTAGAAGTCGTGACGACGACTCTATTTCCTCTCACCGAATTTGATTCTCGCGCAAGCGTGAATTCCCAGAGGAGCAAATTTCGCGCGCACTCCCTACTTCTGATATCTGATGACCACATCGCTCGATCACTCCAGTTCATCGGGATACCTAGACGATATCCCATATAGTCCAGTGGTTAGGATACTCCGCTTTCAGTCTCGTGAAAGCGTTCCGGAGAGACCCGAGTTCGAACCTCGGTGTGGGAACATGCCTTTGATGATGAGGAGCATTTTTGCACTTTTGAAGCCGTGGTCTACCAGCCAACTACAAACAAACCGTCGATGCACTTCACTCAACCCCTACGATTATCTCGACACATCATATAGCACAAAGTAGATGTTTCGACACCTCTGGAGCGGAGACATTGATGAGATACCTCAGGGGCATCAGTAGGCTGAACCCACGACGACTGGATGACTCACAGGAGACTCTCAGCACTAAAACGTGGGAATCAACCTAACCATTATGATTTCTTAAATATATGGTAGATGTGTCACTTAATCGATACATAATAACACTCGGTCGACTCGTAGGTAAAGACAGAGGGCGGCTGTGAAGCCTGATGCGTAGGTCAAAGAGCTTGAGAATCACGACTATCGGACAGTTGAATATTAGTATTGATGAGCCTTAAGGTCTTGTTCTGCGAGGTCAGATTATTGCTTAAATGGATTGACGGCACTGAACTATCAAAGCGTGCCATTCTTCTTTATCAAATAAAACGACACAACGTTGTCAGAATGCTTTGAGTCGCGCTCAAACTCCCTGTTTGTCCGAAGCCAAATTTATCGCGCAATGTGTTGACATTGTAATATAGGTAGTAGAACGGCATCGGTATCTAAAAATCAACAAGTCGGCAGGATGCTAGAGACTAGCCTATCTCTACTCAATATCTGCGATCCAGCCTTCTTATCTGGCTTATTCAAAGATGGTCAAATCTTTGGGGATTTGAAGCTGGAGACTGACTTGTCTCAAGGAAAACGATCTTGCGGAATTCATCTTCCGCACGGTAAGGTGTGGGGGTTATCTTCTCATCCCCAGCCCGTACACGACCTAGTGTTTACGCAACCGGTGTCATGTCTTTACTTGACAGGATACCTAACTTCAATCTGCTACCAAATGATTGCGATGATAAGATAATAGCATTGTTTTATCTTGGGAATGGAGCATCCTGGGGGAAGGGTTAATAGATTGGCGCACGCCGATGTACTAATCCGTGTTATCATCCGAAGATGATTAACGTGCCCCTCGCTGTGTAGGATAGACCTCGATATGCCGCGCCCAATGATGCACAAAGTATAGAGAGACATTCAACTGTACTAGACATTATAAAGAAGCGTTCGCGCCTTGCCTCTGAGACTGAGTCGCGGGAAGATCCAGCAATATGCTCCTAGCAGCTGTGCCATCCAGCCAACTGAGATTCTCACCTGCCTCACACGCGTAGAAACGATGACCACAAGACACGAAAAGACACATTCAGTCGACCTTTATAATAGGCTCGACGAGAACGTCGACAATGTCTATCTCGAAGCAGGCTCTCAGAGCCTCCCATCGAAGGACTGGCTTACCAGGTTACGGAACGCCTTCTTGCACTCTGCTGAGACTCAAGGCGTGGCACCTGTTCCGATTGAAGAGAGAAGCGACAGGGATACTTTTAAACTATTCATGTTGTGGCTCACTGCAAACTGCACTACCCTCCCGTATGTTTCGAAATTTCTTCCTGAATTATCGCACCTCCGCGCGTAAGACTTGCTACAGTTCGCCAAACTGATGAATACCATCAGTATGACCACTGGCATATCCGGAACCCTAAGCTTGGACTAGATCCTACTGTTGTTACAGTAGTCATCGTGCTAAGCACCCTCCTATTCATCCTTCCCGTTGCCTGGATGGGAATGATGGGGCCGAAGACTGGCATGAGTCAAATGGTTCAGACTAGATACTACTTCTGGTATTACTCAATCTCACGCTTGATGACCGTTTCTTTCATTGTAGCTAACTCGGAAGTCAGCTACTACTTTTCCATCGACATTGCGCTGCTACAAATCGGCACCTTGATCGGTTACACCATCATGACATCTATTGTCAGTGGGTAGACTCTCACGGCTGGTTCTGAAGGCGACCTTAGCTTGATTGTAGGTATCACAATCAGTGTTGTTGGCGCACTGCCCATATCCTTCTTGGGCCATAAGTATCTGCATTACAATGATCAATACTTGTGAGCTCCATCTTTTGTTGCTCTCGTCATTGTTGCCGGTATCAGTGGCAAGTCGCTTGCTGGTGCGGGTGCCGAGACTGTTGCGAGTTCACCAAGGACTGTCTTTGACGTTTGCCGCTGCGTGTGCAAGTCTGTGTACTAGTTAGGCTCCGTTGGTATCGGACTTCGCCGTCTACATCGACCCATCCATGCCAAGGTAGGTCTTGACTTGCGCATCACCGAGACTGGACTAGGCTTACGCCATCTACAACAGAATCAAGATCTTCTTATGCGTGTACGTAGGGTACAGTGTCCCTTCAATTCTGCTACTCATTCTAGGTGCCGCTGCAGGTGCCGCTGTGCCAGCAAACGAGCTTTGGGCTCAGGCCTACGGTCTCTACTCCGTTGGTGGTATCATCAATGCCATGAACACTCCTCTAGGAGGATTTGGAAAGTTCGTCTCGGTCCTGTTGGCGTTCCTGTGCTTGGTCTCACAGCCTGCACACTATATTCGCTCTCTATTAGCTCTCAGTCTCTTCATCCGATTCTCAGTCGCCTTCCCCGGTATATATACTCGCTTCTTATTGTGGCAATCATTGTGCTCATCTCAATTGTTGCCAGCTCCAACTTTTACAACTCTCTATCGAACTTCCTGAGCGTCGTTGGCTACTGGACGGCTTCGTACACTAGTATCGCGCTTACTGAGCACTTCCGTTTTCGTTGGGGCCGGTATTCTGCGTACAACATCTCTGACTGGGATAATCCAAAGGCACTCCCGCTTGGATTCGCGGCCTTGGCATCGCTCTGTTGTTCTTTCGGACTGATCGTTCCTTCTAAGGATACTGCGAGGTACCCATGGCAGTACGAACCGGCGATATCGGTATGCAATTGGAAATTGCTCTCGGTTCACTGATGTATATAGTGCTGAGAGGTGCCGAATCACAATGGAAAGGTCGAGGTAGATCATCTTAGTAGAAGATTTGTTTACTTGCCATCTCCCTCACCATAGGCTCCGAACTTTTGAAGCAGTTTGATTTGCTAATTAAAAAAAAGATGTAGCTTCACTGTCCCTAGCTCAAAACTGGAGACCGCCGTTCAGAGGTAGTGAGTGGTATCGTCATTGTCACCGAAGGCCGTCTCGGGGTCCCCTCAATGGACTTCCGTCATGCCTGCCGCATGGCTTTACCGTAGTAATTTGAATGAAGTAGCCTCCACGTAGTGGTCGGCAAACCCTCGAAGTGTCGCGTTGCTTGATGGCTGACCTCATCAACCCAGCGAATGTCGTGCTCACATCAGGTGCTCAAAGACTCCTCAATTGCATTTAAGAGCCGTGCCTACCCAGTTTTCCTTTTGCAATTAGACGACTTTCTAAACTTGTCAATCTTTACATTGATAGTCGGTTGGGTTCCCCTAGCCCTCTCACGACAGCTGAACTAGACGCAAAGCGATGCGTTGATGTTCCTAACCAATTTCCGGCGTGCGACTTCGGCGGATTCGGCGGCCTTTGCAGTTGCCGACAAGACTGCGAGCATATCTACGCATGACTTCAAGAATAAGCAATAATCTATCAGGCGCTCTCGAAACATATGTATTGCAAACGGCCCGAACGAAAAGTCCAAAGCAATCGAAAAGAACTGCCACGTCAAGCGTCGGACAATGCCCGGCCTCTTGTGAAAGCAAAGAGTGCATCTGGGCCCAGAAATCCGCTGCGACTCTGCGGAGAAGTATGCGGACCATGTCCTGGGCCCCGGCCGATGGCCGCCGTTGAAATGGAAAAGCAATGGGATGCACGAGATCGGGGCACTGTCAATCTGAGCTGCTTTCAGGAGAAAAAGAAAAGGCACGAAAACAAGACCAAAAGACCTCAGCAATCAATGCGAGCCGGCATCAAACCGCCCGAACGGCTGTCGCAAGACTGAGATTCCATTCGGGTCGCAGCCGACGTTACCCTCTCTCCTCCCATACGAAAAAACAAGGCACTAAGCGCCGACGTCGAGTCGCCTCGCCGGTCACAAGCAGCCTCGGGGGCTTCAGCTCGGAAATTCTTGGACATTGACGATCCCCTCTCAAGTCTCATTGTTAGACGGGTCATTGGAAACACACCAATTCGCCTGGTGCGACGCTTGCTAGTTAGGGGGGGGGGGGTAAAAGACGCGGCAACCAACAACGGCGCGGAAAAGCCAAACGCGACGGGAAAGTTCACCATTCGCCACAGCAGACTCTAGGCTATTCTTTGCCGAAATTTGCATCATCACAAGACTTACGCGACTGGCTGTGAACCACGTTGCCTTTCAATTTCCATAGAGTCGACTCGTGGGAAATCTCAGCAAGAATTGAGGAGAGACGTTCTTCATCAATACCAGCGAGGGAATATCAGTGGCTCGAAGTCTCATCCCCACAGAACTAGGCAGGCCAGGGAGCGACCATCTGTTCACAGACCGTTCTGCCGTCAGTGCCGCGAGGCGAGATGAGGTAGGCAGATCTTTCTCAGATGGCTTCGCACGCACGCACGCCCAGGTACGACACGCGCCGTTCATAGAGCTACGGCCTAGGGCGTCCACTGTCGCGCGCGGAGCTTCGTGGCCAACGAGGTGAACACTGAACAAGCATCCTGGAGGTAGAGCGCCATGTGTGATGCAAGATGAAGTTTGGCGCAACCTTAAGCTCTTCCCAAGCTACTTGACGCCACACCACGATGGGCTACTGTACAGCGAGTATGTGTCGGTGGCAATCAACATCTCTTCACGAGAGGAAGAGACCAATTCGCGCTAGGAACTTGGCTCAGGTCTCGGTCAGAGGAAGACAGAAGGGGAGGAGGTCTGGGGGCGGGAGGGGGCAGCCGGCTTGTTCGGCCGATCTCTGGCGCAACTCGAGCCATATCCGCCAGCGAACCCCTGTACCGCCCCAGCAAAAGGACCGGACTGGGCTCTTTCCAACTCCAACCAGCTAAAGAACCGGCAAAGGCAGCATCGGGGCCCTCGTTGTGGTCGTCTGTTCCCGCTCGCTCTGGTTTAGAGTTAAATCAAAAGCGGTCAGCCGTTGATGAGACGAGGATCTCTCATCAAAGGTCAAACCGCGGTCAAATCCATCCACGGAAAGAAAGGAAATGATGGATTGGTTTTTCTATCAGTCTTGTCAGTGTCAACGTCAACGTCAATGTCAAATGTCAAGTGTCACGATGTATCTACCTACATGTGACAGAAGCAAATATGGCATGGAGCCTGATCCGTCGCCAACGTCAGCAATCTATGGAGCGTAAGGTACAAATGTGCCATAATCAGATGCTTTTTCATTCTTCTTCGTCTGCTTGCCGCACTTTTCGATATTTTCCTGCAGAAAGACGTAAAAAGGAAGCAGCTTCACCTCGGCAGGCTTGCATCTAAGCAGCACTGCAGCAGTCAGGGACAGGGGCACCCAGGCAGCGCCATTCCGACAAGGGAATGGCTTCGTGCGGGGGAAATTGGCATCTCCCCAGACAAGCTGCGATGTGGCCCTCCCCTTCCTGGGCCTCGTCCAAGCTAAAATTTGTCCTTGTCCACGTCGTCAAACGGACGCGAAGGGTGCAGAGCCTGGGTTGGTGTGGTGAGATTGACCCAATCAAGGCAGACATGACACACGGGTGTTACCTCGATGGGATACCAGAGAGAGGGGGATCACGGTGGTTGCTTGTGGCTGCCGTGGTGTTCCTGCATCTGCCCACCTTATCTTGCCTGTGTCTGCCTTCTTGTCTGTCGTTCCGGGTATGATTGTATGTCTGGTGCCACCATCTTTCTCTTGACCTTAGGGCGCCAGACGTGGATGGATTGGCAAACCTTTTTCAGCTTGAGTTACCGAAACGCGCGACCTTTGCGTATCCGCATTATGGACTTGGACGGGCAAAAGTGGCCAATCAAGCTAACAGAGTTCGCATAATCACCAAGTCGCCCAGATCCCTCTACGGAAGCAGAGGCAACACGATTGGGATGGCGTCTTCAATGGCCTTTATGAAGTGGTACCAAGGTGTTCTAGATGGTTCAATACGGGCAAAGACTGGAGCTATAGTTCCGAGTGCGCTTGTGCCACCCAACAAACAGTCCAATATCATCCCGCATGTGGCAATGTGGCCTTGGTCAAGGAAGTCCAGGAACCATCATCATCTTCTCAATTAACTTTGCAGAGTCTAGAAGCCCCCAAAACTTACTTCACGAGGAACCATGGCCAGAGGTTCATCTGACAGCTCCGGACTTCAGCTCGTCTTACTTCTGATTCTCTAGAGACGCTTGGCCAATGGTAACTTTTCGATTTCCCCCATCAATAGCGTGACAAGCAGCCAAGAGATGCTCCCGCCATTGTCCCCAGTCACCCCGGATTTGGCCTGGAAAGTGGAAAGGAGGAGAGAAATTTGATCCCAGCTACGGAGATTTCTCCATTTCCGAGAGCAATTGACTCGATAATACATGTCACCACAAGTGTTGCACGTCCGCCAGATCCCATACACAATTTCACCAGTCATGGGATTCAACGCTTATTGAAGCGCAGCGCCATGTCAGCTAACTACTAAGATGAGTGGATTGGCTCCGAAATTACGCCCGACCGAACATACAAAAGTCCAGCTTCCCAACACTGCAAAGCCCATGTCCATCTGCATCATGCCACTCCCCTGATGGGGAATCGATCTCCTTCTTCACATGTCCAACGAGATGAGTACCGAGCACAACCTGCGGCCTTTACACACACAGAGACACCACTTTTTCTCCAATACGCGCCCTCGCGCCATAATGGCCAGGATTCGGAACTTAGCTAAGAGGCAATAGAGGTCAAAAAAGCCCACTTCCCCGGCCTCGCCTTGACCCAAGAAGATCCCCGTCCTAACGGAGGACACTGTCCAATCCGGTATTCCCACCCGTCCACACCCCCTGCTCCTCTGCAACCCTCGCCTTTGCTCTATACGATCACCGGCGCAGCCCTGAGGCCTGCAGACCACTCGAAGGTCGGGTACGCGCGGGGAACTTTCGACTACGAGGTAGGCCCTGTTCTCGCTCTCTTCTTTTTTCATCATACCGTTGCAACGCGCATGCACATGCCGACCCCATTCGGACCTAGCAACCACTTCTCACGACCAGGGTCTCTCAGCTATCCACTTTCCCCCAGATTCTTGACTTGCTTGCGCAGTAACTCTACTGACGGAGGTCCTCATCCATCCGGGTTTTCTGTGACTACTTCAGTTGCTTGCCAGTAGTAGTCACTGGACTCGCTACAACTGCTTGTACATGCTCTCCAGGATGTAAGCCCACTTCTAGTCGTTTGCCCCGTCCCAGCCCTGAGAACCTTGGTTATTAGGCTCGCCAACTAGGTCCATGCAATTCCTTCTCCGTTATGAACCTCGAAGTCATCCCAGTCCGAACATCCCGCCTATACCCATACAGCCGAAGGCATCAGGGTGCAACCACATGTACCCTCTACTCCGGCTTCTATCTACATAAAGTCTGCTCTCCCTCAGGTTTTCTCAGGCTCTCTCTTCTCCTCTGCTTCATCCACACTCGCTTGTCTTTCATACCGACACCTGATACCCACTACCACCTTACACTCACAACCCACCAACAAGCAACAATTATCAAAATGAAGTACGCGTATGCTCTCGCTGCCCTGGCCGCTGTCGTCGCCGCCCAGGTTGACCCTACCATCATCCCCGAGTGCGCTCGTCAGTGCTTGCTGGACGCCACTGCCTCGGCCACCAGCTGCAAGGCGGGCGACTACGTCTGTTCCTGCGAGCCCGCCAACAAGTCTGCCATCCAGGCCGCCGCCACTGGCTGCGTCGTCGGAGCCTGCGGTGCCGACGTTGCTCTGAGTATGTCTACATCCATTCCTATGTACTACCAAAGTAGTATCATCAGAAGGCTAACCTCACTTATCAACAGACCAGGTCCTTCCCGCCTCCGACAAGCTTTGCGCCGCCGCTTCCGCCGGCTCTGGCATATCTGCCTCAGCTTCCGCCTCCTCCTCGGCCGCTGCCTCCTCGGCTGCCTCTGCTGCCTCTTCGGTCCCCCCCGCCAGCATGCCTTCCGTTGCCTCCACCACGGCCGTGACCGTCACTGCCTCTCCCTCCGCCAGCAGCGTTGTCGTCACCTCTACCCGCGCCAGCAACGGCACCGCCTCTGCCTCTGGCACCGCTTCCGGTACCGCTGCCGCTACCACCTCCGCCGTCCAGGCTGGCGCTGCTGGCCTTGCCCCCATCGGCGGTCTTGCCATGCTGGTTCTCGGTGCTCTTGCCATCTAAGCTACCAGACCACTGGAAACATGGCTCTTGGAAGTAGAGCTCGCCCGGTGCTATCTGCAAAGATAGATGGGTGGACTCTTTGTACGTTCATGAGAAAAGCCGGAACGAAACGATTCATGGTTGATGGTGGATGATTGAAGTTTTCTGCACCACCATACGGAGGTTTATTGCCCGAAGTCATGTGTTTGACATCGGGCATGTAGTTCAAGTCAAAAGCAATACAAGTTTTTTAATACCATTACTCGGTCTCTCTTCATTATCTTGCAAAACAAAGTCCAATGTCGCTCCCTCTAAATTACCCTAGCAGGCCTGGGGCCGCATCAGAGGAACCAAAACACAACTGTCCATGTTAAGGTTATCGGCATCAAGATCTTCTTAGCTAGACGTCCGACGACAGGTGACCACGAGCTATGCGGGGTGTTCATGAGAATGTTTGCCTGCTTGCTAACATCCGGGCACTTCCCATCGAGCAGATCCTGCATGCTAGACCTCTTTCCCACGGCCGCTTTCCCGTCCGGCATGCACTCTCCCGCTTCGTACCCGCGCCTGAATTCAAGCGCATTGGCAAACATCCGCGCCTTCTGATCAGTGGTGAAGCCGTTCTGCGGTGTTTTGCCACGGCACGAGGAGTACTGTTCTCCAACCAAAAGCTATCCGTTAGTGCTCTTCTTTGAGTCCAATATGAGGGCGGCAGGACACTGACACTCATGTAGTTATTGATCTCAACCGCTGGACCACCAACACATGTTACCTGCGAGCATTGATAAACCACGTCACGATTACCCGAGGTCTGGGTCGCGTTTGTCAATCCATCTTGAATGAGACATTCCTGGCCGATCTCATTAAACGTATGACCGAGACCAAACCAGTGACCAACATCGTGAACAAGTGTTGTGGCGTCGCCTCCCTGAACATGCGCCTCTTCAATTACAATACCGTCTGCTTCATCGAGCTGCTGGTTTGGGAACGTGACGTACTATGCATGATGATAATCAAGAGTTAGTCATTGTTTTCTTTCATGATCAGGAAGTTAGTTGGAATGGCCTTACGCTGTTGAGTTCCTGGTCATTCTTTTCACTGCTTCGCAACCCATTGATAATCCAAACGGTCAATGTTAGCTTTCCAGGCGCGCGTGTGCGGCGTTGCCAGTCTAATAATTTAGCCTCCTGTCTGGTTACTCTTGACCAGTCCTCATTTGCCTTTGGCTCCCACCAATTGAGTGCCATAAAGCGGAAGTTGATCCTCACTGCTCCCAAAGCCTCGTTCAGGACATCGATCTACACACCTTCAGTTCCAATACTCTGACAATCTCTACAATAGATGAGTAAGAGCTTACCTGTCCTTTCACCCTCGACTCCAGCTCATTTGGTTTCTCGGCGGTCGAAGAGGCTCTCATATAATGAAAATATACTCCAACTTCCATAGAGTCAACTGCTTTGCAATTGCTAAAGCCTCGGAGGTCCCGTGATACTAATGGTATCCAGTCGAATACGTTGTCAACGAAGGCCTTTCTCCTTGCCAATCTCTGAGAGTATAAATTTTGGCACTCGGAAATATTGGCTGGGATGGAGATTTTTCCCATGTCGACAGGAGCAGGGTCCTTTTTGGCAAAGTACTCGAAATACGCCGTCTCAAGGATCGCCAGCGCCCGGGCATTGTTATTATTTATCGACTTTGCCGGAACATTGACATTGAGCTCGGCTTCAAACTGCTCAATCGTTGATTTATCGGGAGGTGTGACAACTTGAGACTCTGGGACCGCCAGAATTGCTGTTTCGTTAACACCTTGGAAGCTGTCCGATGGTTGAGCGGCAAAGGAGGCCGTAGTAGCTAGCTCTGGCGATGAGACTGTATAAGTAGCTTGACCGGCACCAAGAGAGCCGGTTCGAGACCTTTTCAATTTAGCAAGAATTACTAAGGTATCAAGAAGCACTTACACTTGAGTCGATGCAACATTGCCCGGGTCATCAACTGCCCGAGTGCCTGACGCTTGAGGGGCACTAAGTGCAGTGGTTCCTGATCCCTGGACCTGGACTAACGTAGAGCTACCGGGACCTCTGGGTACGCTGGATTGCGCCTGAGAACTGCGCTGTGCTGAATTCGAGTTTGGAATACTTGCTGATGCTTCGCCGCTTTGTACAATTACTCTAGATGAAGGAGCTTCCCTCGAGTCTGTTATCCCTCTCGAAGGGACCGCTTGACCAGACACGCTGACTTGGACCGAAGACGCTACTTCTTTGGGAGAATTGGGAGAGGCAGGCACAGCAGATGATGCAGGAGCAGCCTTAGATGTAACCTCTACATTCGCAGAGGAGGGCTTGATGATTTGAATAGAAGGCTGCGCTGAACTTGGACGAGCTTCTGATACGGGTGGTCTTGCTACGGAAGAAGCCTCTTGCGGTGTGTTGGGCCTGGTGCTTACGGATGGAGGAGCGGCTGGTTCTATATGCTCTCATGTCAGCAAAGTCTCGCACAACAAGACATAAAGCAGCGAGTCCGCCTTAAGGGCCTTTCACTATTTGTACTGACCTGGAGAGCTGACTGGCACTGGCGGCCTGGAGACAGAAGATGCTGGAGCATCAGAAGTTGACAAGTTGCTGAAGTTTTGCGCAGACACCCAGGATAACGGCCCAGATAGGAGACAGATGAAGGAAAGGAATCTCATGTTGAAGTCAACTCGAATTCACTCCAATGGTTATTTTCAATATTGAATTTGAGCAGAGACATCTCAAGATGGGAAGACCGTGCCGATCATTATTATACGCTTCATGTGGACCATCTCCAGAACTCGCTTGAGCTATCCAAAACCGTTTGAAGAGGGTCTCTTCAACCAGATGGCTGGAATACGCCACGCTCGCTGCTAGCAGAGTAAGGCTGGATGCATTCGGCATTTTGATTCACACATGCGGGGAAAGCTGGCAGCTTGGGTAGATGAACGAGCTGAACAGCTTCTGCCAAGCCTGTCTCTTTGAGCCACAGACGTTGGCGGTGCTTCAGCCGCAGTGCTTCGATCCATCTCCGACGTCGTCTGCTGTGATAGGCGGATTTGACAACCTCCTCATATGGAGAACAATGTCTTGAGATATGTAGACAAAAGCTCCCCGCAGCTCCTATTCCGCGATCCACCCGAGGCAAATGCTTCGACGGTGTTGAAGTCACTTCACAGAGCTGCTGATCATTCCAGCAGAAGCAGCAAAGATGGCTACGGGCAAACATGTCGTAATTGTTGTTTCAGTGCTATATGTTGCCTCATTCCACGATGCCAACAAGCGGTATTCCGCAAAATTTGGCTAGATTCTCTACAGGCGGGTCACATTCGAGGTCATCTTTTCCGGCGGGGAATGCAGCTTTCTCATTGACATATCAATGCTATTGCGCCACAACAGCCATTCGCTCGAATACCCTGGAGCGTATTGGATGTTTGCGGCAGTCGTGTGCCACTCCATAACCTACTAATACCAAATTGTAGAGCCATCCTAGAGCCCAGACTTGCGCCAAGGCTGGCCATTGAGGCGTCTCTCCGTCCTCGTGACATTTTTGCCAGGCATAACACCAGCTGCGCTTTTAGACAGGCAGGTCACATTCTTAACGCATCTTTAGCTTTGAGTTTAATTTCCTTGGCTTCCATGACTGCCGCTACGGCTCAGCCCTAGGACTGAGACACTGGAGTTCTGGGATAGACTGAAGTTCGGACCGAGAAACTGGATTGTGTCCCGCATCATCCGCGCCCGGGGTAGAGAGTAGAAGACATCTTAGTGAGCTGAGCAATCAAGGACACCAATGAGAACCCACAATGGCGATCAAATAGAGAAAATGCGGGCGAAAATTCGTCCCTAAAGATGGCGAGACAAATATGCAGCAGCTGGTAGAACCGACCGAAGCGCTGGGGTCCCTGCACCTACTTGTATATTTGCCCGTTTGCGTGAATGTTATTTGACTGAACCTTATGTGCAGAAATCAAGTGACGCGAAACATTCCAATGGTGCCTACGACGCCCCATGACGTCTGAGTCACCTATCCAATTACTTAATCCTTTTCACGAACACTAAAGCTACGTGAAAGTGATGTTCAAAAGCGAATCGTTGACGGATCAGACGTAGATGTAGCACAAAAATAAAGTAGCTGTGTTGTTCCAAGAATCAAAACTGGGTTTAATCCATCTCTCACATTCAGCACTGCTCGTGTAACACCAAATATTTAATATTCGGTATCAGCCGAGTGATTACGTAGTTGGTCCCATTCAACTTTTGCTGTCCATTTCGTGCCATGATATTTGGAAATGCCCTTACATAGAAGAAGTCTAAACGAAAGTCAAGAAGAGAAACACCAGCTTTGTACTCCAGCCCCCAAGACCCCTCATATCAGTCTATCAAGCCAGACTAAACTGGACGTTCACACCAAGAGTGTCGTAATTTTGTACAAGACGGAAACTACATTCTCGGAGCCCGACGACGGCCGAATTCATATCCACCGTAGATGGTCGACGCCGAAGTGTATTCATCAGACTTGCGAGTCTCAAAGGTCGTCGGGGTGGGCGATACCTCTGAAATGGAGGGGCTCACCAGGGACGGTCGAGCACTGGCCACGGTGGTGCCGAGATACTTGGTCGAACTCGACTCCTGGGACGACTGGGAAGATGAAGAGGGAGGATAGTCGTAACCACCAGGGATGCTGCTGGCAGTTGAGCTAATCAGAGTTGGAAGAGCACTCGAGATGGTGGTACCCAAGGTTGAGCTTGAAGCTGGGTAATAGGTGTCGTAGCCTCCAGGGATATCCGAAGTGCTGCTAGAGACGAGTGTAGGCTTGGCGCTGCCTACAGTAGTTTCCGGCGATGCGGTGGACTCCTGAGTGGAGGGAAGGTAGTCGTATCCGCCAGAAACGCTGCTCAGAGTTGCTGTACCTGTGGGTGTGACGAGAGTGGCCAGAGCGCTGGAGATTGTGAATCCCGGTGCAGAAGTGGAGGGAACGGAAAGATACGACGACACAGACGTGGAAGTGGATTCCTCGTGAGTTGTGCAAGGTTCCTTGGATATAGAAGAGGCAGCGCTGCTCCCGAGAGAGGTAGGAGTAGTGTTGGACAAGCTGGGGGCGGTGGTGGTAGGGTAGCCGAGCGTGGTGGAAAGCCGAATGGAGGTTGGTGATGAAACAGATGGAAAGCCACTGGAGACTCCTGTACCGCGACTAGTCGACGAGGAGGCAGTCCCGGTGCTGAGAGGTACGGTCTTCGTGAGGGTGACGACAACTGTAGTCCTCTTCGTGGTATGAGAAGTGGAGAGAGGGGGTGTGGATGCTCCGGGATGCTGAGAGGAGACAGTGGTGTTGAAGACTGATGTGGTGGTGAGGGTGGTCAACGAATAGGAAATGGGGGGGGCGATACTCGACTTGGATCGTGTGGAAAGAGACGGCAGAGGAGGAATGCTGATCGTGGGGATGCTTGGGATGCTTTGAGTCGTAACTTTTGAAGAAGTGGACGAGTCTGTGTCAGTGGTGCGGATGGTCTTGGTAACGGTGCGAGTAATATGAGTGCGGGTAGAGTTCGTCCAGAGGCTCGAGGGGGAGCCAGTGATAACACTTGTGCCGGCAGTGCCGCCATGACTGGAAGAGCTGGGAAGGCTGAGGGTTCTGGGATATCAATTAATATCAATGGAAATTGCGAAAGAATGTCAACTTACGACGTAGTATTGGTGGCCCAGGTTGGAGAGGAGCTCGGGGTGCCAGCACTAGGCAGCTGGGAGGAGAAAGTGACTCCCGTAGTTGGAGTCCATGATGACACTGCTCCGGTGACTTCAGAAGAACTGCTAGAGCTAACGTAGGGGGACGAGTTGGTGTGACGGAGGGACGTAGACGCAGGAATTAGAATGCTGGACGACAAGGTCTTAGAGCTCAAGCTTCCTGGAATGCCCGTACTAGAAGGCTCGCAAGTGTGAATGTACGGAGACGTCACAGTCAAGATCTCTGTGAGAGTCACGGTACTGGCACACTGAGAGCCACAAGCAGTGACAGTGACCGTCGCCGGAGGATGCGGGATGAGGTAGTTGTTGGCGTTGGGAGGGATGGCGTTTACCAAAGAGGCACTGCCAAGTCGGGTCAGCAATGGTCGAGAAATATATGATTGAATCCTCACCTAAGACCTAAAAGGACGAAGTAAAGTGCGACAGGGACCATGACTGGCAGGGGGTTCGGGATATCAAACGAGTGTGGCGTTGCAACAGCTGGTGCTTGCGGGTTTGAGATGAGAAGCGAAACTCCAGTACACCATTACGTCTGTCCAGACAGCTTTATATCAAGAAGCCCATCTTATGTACACCAATGCTAAATGACACAGCATATATTTCAGAGCATTCTCGATTGCAACGCCGACGGGAGGGCCGGTAGACATCCTCGTCACGGAAGCCGTTACCCCGGCCTAGACCGTCCTTCGGCGAGGCTTTTCATGCAGGGCGCCGCTGAGAGCCAACAACACAGCGATGGATTCAAGTATCTCCCTATTTAATTTCCGAGCTAAACAGAAGTTAGAGGCTTGCCCTCGTGGTTGTTTGAAGCGAGATCGCACAAGCCGCAACGTTCGAGATGCGTCGTTGCCACATGGGTCAAGGGGATGGGTACCTGATCTCATCTGAGCCAGACCGTCAGGATTGTTTGACAAAACCATTTGAACTTCACGAGTGATAATTTGAGCCGAAAACAGATGGGATTTTTGGCAAGGAAAGCCATATAATTTAGCAATCTCAAGTAACGGCTACAACGTGTGATGCTACATAGCTTGGATGCGCTCCAGAGCTGGCACTTCAGGATGCAGTGTTCGTTTGCGGGTAGAATTCGGAAGACAAGATTAATGCCCCTGCCTTTCAGATTCGACGGGAAATCTTGGTAGGCAAACAAGAGCGGCGAGAAAACAGAGTCGTGTGAATGAGCACGGCTGCAGATGCCCTCGTTGCGGCTGCAGGTGTCCGTCCCACACAATCTCCAGCAGACAACCCACATAGTCAAATAACTTCAAACGAGCAAAATAGGCAAGAAGTGCAAATTCGCGTTATCCCGGCCTTAAGGTTGGAGCATCGGAATACGATTTTGTGATCTGCGTGTTCTGGAGTGCACATGTACGAGAATCTGACATCCTCTTCGCCCCGAATTGTAGAATGTTTGAAGCTTCGAGCTTTTCAAATAGCCTGGAATCACTATTCTCTAAGGATGCTCCAGCACGACAGATCTCGTACTTTTTCATCACGCATGAGATACTACGGTAGGGAGGGACTTTTTTGCTTTCTGGCTTCCAACAAGATGGTGTAACACCGACGCCAATGCACGCGTCGGGTGTGTGCATGCCTGCATTGACGTAGCTGCGGGTTTCCGACCGATCAGGGGTGGGACCAAACAGACAACATCTGTTCCCTTCATAATAAAAAGAAGTTTAGAGCCTGTGTCCTTGGTTGCAGGACCAGAGAATGCACCTACACATAAACCCCATTTAGGGACCGGATTCACAGAAACAGTTCATTCTACTTGTAAGGTAGTTATACCGGGGAGGTGCATCCTGCAGATGAGCAACACGTACAATCAGATCCCGTAAACTTGACATTCTTGTCACATGTTGATTGCGGGAGTATGTGCGATTTCTGCGGCGGGAAGGATGAAGGAAGCACTTTTGTCTAGAAGTTTCCGTTGCAACAGAAAAGTCGGAAGTTTTCTAATCGGCCGAAGGCGGGAGTCATCTTTGTTACTTTGGAAGGATCAGCAGAGCTTCACGTCTTGTTTGCACTTCATCCCGGGTTGTGTGGGCCGTCTCACACCCGTTGATGTTTGTCCTTGTTGGTACTCGGAGATTTGGGCGAGCGGCTGTACTGGATTTGGGGGATAGTCCCTCTACAACACACCTTGATCTGCACGGGATGTTTTGTTTGACCAAACCTTGCCCCGACCTGTCCAGGCTACGGTATCACCTCGCTGCGTGGCACGCGTGGCCAAAGGCGTTCGAAGTTACGGTTGTGCGCCACATCACCGAGGACGGGGGCCATGAATCATTGATCCTCGTACAATGCGACTAAATTGGCACTCTGTGTAGAGTAAAGTAATGTTCACATACAGAGCAAAAACACGTATCTGAGACTGTCTTAAGCTCTGCGAGAGGAATCATTGCCAAGCTCTTCCACAGTTGCAGGTTACACGGCCGGGTAAGGAGTCGTAAGGTGGCCACAATCGCGGCACCTATGTGTGCGATTCAATTCTCCTCGACACGCCCAGCCGCTTGATTTGGTTGTGGCAGGTCCCGCTGGAATAGATGAAAGATCAAGTGCGTGATGCAACTGTCTCGCACTGCACCCTGGGAGGGTACCCTCGCCTCTTCGTCTTGCGAGCAAACAACTTTGGGATAAAGATGTGCAGTCTATTCATAGTCCCGCACCTCAAATTTCTGGATACTCTCTGGATAATCTCCATCCCAACATACTGTTCTCAGAGGACCGCCTTTAATGCCTTGAATGCATCATCTCGACTGCCCGAGAACCTGAGCTCTGAGGTCTTCCAGTTAATGACGTT